AATCATATTTTTAAATACGGTTCTTTAAAGATGCCAGCACCTAGGGGTATGTCTACATGGGGATACAAAAAAAAACAAAAAAAAAAAAAAAAAAAAAAAAAAAAACCACCTGCGTCTGACCTGGCCCAGATGACTCAGGCTTGTGCTGCGTGATGAAAAATTGCTGTGTCAATGTTTGGTCTCAGGCTAGAGCCAGAGCTCTGGAACCCTGCAAGGAGTGTACCAGAGCTAGGGCTCCAGCCTTAGACCAAAAGTCTACACAGCAAGTTTTAGCCCTGCAGCCCGAGCCCGAGTCGGCTAACCCAGACCAGCTGTGGCTGTGTGTAGATGTACCCTTAGATTATTACAATGGAATAGATTTTGAAAATCTCATGCTTTACACCATTTATGTAGTTTGCTTTTTGCATGACAATCACCTCAAATCACAAAAATAGTTTGGACTGTATCACTTCTGTTTCCAGTCAGTTTTACTTTCCAGCTCTCACGCACTAGCCAAAAGTTGCAAAATTTGGGTTGCTAACATTGCAGGGGACTGTTTCTTAAAAACAAAAAACAAAAATCCTGACCTCCTTAGTTATATAAATAATGCAATTCCAGCTCAGTCATCAATCATAGTCATCAATAGAACGACAGAGGCCAGCATCAGATACTTACATGTCAGATTCAAGAAACCCCAATTATTTAATTATCTGCCTATAACGGAGGTTTCTTCCTTACACCCTCTGTTAGATATTGGCTTGTACCCTGACACAGGAAGGCTTTTATCCATTTCAGTGCTATGTGCAGGAATTTGACTTTAACCACTTTTGGAGGGGCATGTCAAAGCAGTGACCAGAGCAGAAATAATTTTTTTTTAAGATGAATATTGCTTCCCGTCCACGCTTGGGCACACCCCTGCATTTCACACATTTTTAAAAATACTATATAACTACAGACATTCTAGTTATTCTCATAAACACCCTATCCTTTGAATTCTGCAAAAGTCTTGGCCTCCCTGAAATCTCATGCCAGTAAAATTCTACCAACACGTTGTGTGTTTCCTTTTATCAGTTTTAAATTAACTGCCTTTCAATTTTATTGCATGGCCTCTTGCTCTTGTATTACGAGAGGGTAAACTGGAACACCTGCTTTACCCTTTCTGTACCATTTGATGGGAGCACCTGATTTGCCTTTTGTACCATTAAATATTTTATCTATTAACTTGTCTTATTTGTCTCCTCTCTCACCTGTCCCATTCATTGTCCAAGTCCAAACCTTCTCTATTTCTGAAAAAGATTAAAAAGGGGAAATATTTCCATTCATCTTAACTTTTATAGAAGCTTGTTTTATTAAAAATACTAATTTATGAGTCAAAGAGACCATTCCTGGCTTTCTAATGGATGCACAGTTCATTTCTCAGTCCTTATTCAATCAGAGCTCCAATGGAGAGCAGGGACTTCAGGATTTGGCTCTATCCTCTCCAGCACATCCAACTTTTTCTGCCCACCAGAACTTCGATTATTTTTCTATTAGCTCAACTCCGCAGAGAATCTGAGCTGGAAGTGCTGGGAAGTTTTGGATAAATTAGTTTTCTTTTTCTCAAATTCTTTAGAATTATGACTGGTGAAAAATGAAAAATTCCCCAATTGTGAGAGTTTTCCAGCTGCATCTTTTTGGTTTCCTTTCCCCAGCAACTGCCAAGCTGCACTATTACTAACCCTTAATGATACTAATAAAGGATTGTATGACAACACTATATTTATTCATTCTCTCCTCCACACGCTTTCATTTCAAATTGTTTGTTTGCAGCTCTAGTGTGGACTGAAACATTCAGAACATGTATCTGAGAAACAAAAGTGATGCGAAACAAAGATTACACTCACCTGTTACTGGCGCCCAAAGCAAGGGGAGATTCCAGAGCCCACGGAGCCCAGTTTCAGTCCCCACACCAACATCTTGCTGGCTTTTTCTTACTTACTATTTTTTTTGTTTCCCTTCTGGATGTGCATTTTCAGTAAACGACACATAGGATTTGGTGCTTTTTACAAATGATTCACTAATTACCAATCTGAAGTGGCTTCTTGTTGTACGAGTTGACTTTAGAACCACGTGCAGAACTGATTTTTCAATTCGGTGACTAAACAAATATTAAAAAAAAAAAAAATTGGATCCACCCAAAAATGAAAAAAACAAAAACCTATTTTCTGGCCAAAAATAAGGGGAACAATTCTTTTGGGTTGAACAAAACATTTTGTTTGAGATGTTTTTCAAAAATTAAAGTGAAATTTTAAAAGAGAGAAATTAAAATGTTCCATTTAGAAAAATGTCAAAATGAAATGTTTCAATTTTTTTCACTTTTCTTTTCCAATCACAGATTTGGTAAATTTGACATGAATTCACAAAATGCATCAGTTAACCTCAAGATACTATTTTTTGGCAAGAAAGAAAAGTTTACTCTGAAAAATTTTGACCAGTTCTAGTTGACTTGAACCGTGGATAATAAATGCTGCCTGTACCCTGTATTCACTCCCCCATGTACCCTATCTGTCCCCTTACTCTGCTCTTCCCCCACTTAAATTCTGCTTTGCATTGGTTGTAATTTTAGGCTTTACCAGAACACTGGGCATCATTTAGGAGCGAAAGGAATGTGGCTACAAATCATTAATTAAATGCACTGGTCATTGGTTTTTACCAGAGCAAATTGACAGTCCACACACCATTGCACTTTGCCCCTTCCACCCATCCAACAACCCATCCAAACCCACCTCAACATGGCCTTATCCAGAACCTCCTCTTCCAATTGCCTCTTGGACACCTCTCATCCCAGCCTCCCATGATCCCCTTTGCAACTTCAAACACCACTCTGGCAGCTGTAGAAACACTTGCTCCATAGACCCAACTGACAGTTTTCTCCTTTGCTCAGAAGATGTGTTCAGTGTTCACAAAGTTCCTGGAGCCCCAACCTCCCTGCCCCCCTCAACTGAGCAATCTTCCCTCTCAGCCCCAGCTTTTCCATCTTCCCCTTTCCATCTGCCTCCCAGAAACCTGCTGCCTCATACTGACCTTACTCCCCTCTACCCTTCTTTAGAACCCTCCATGCTCAGAAGGGGGCCTCAGCCCCTCCTCCACACCCAGCTGCTCTCTAAGCTTTTCCCTTCTGCTACCCACAACTCCAAAAAACAGACCCCCTTTCAGCCTCTGCCTCCTGAGCTTCCCCTTCCTCTCCCTCCCACTATTCATAACCCCCGCCTCCCCCCTGCACCACCACCACACACAGCCCCTGCAGATGCTGCCCAGGGTGTTCTCTTTACATCCTCTCCTGTTCTGACTTTCCTCCTCTGTCCAGACTCATTCTGCT